TGTGAAATTCCTCAATTACTCAAAGATATAATGGAAAAATGTTTGGATACGAATCCTCTCAATCGTCCAACTGCTAATGAATTGAGAATGCAGCTTAGAAAATATTTAGAAGAGGGTTATTCTCGTCATTGGCTAAAAAAACAAATTGAAGCAATTGATGAAGCAAATATAAATTTTATTCAATATGATCCAAAAACAACACATCCTCAAGCAATATATACAAGTAGGCAGTTGCCTTTTCGAAACTAATTATAGTTGAAACAAATTCATGTGGTAATTGTATTTTTTAAATAATTGTTTTTTTTTTAAAAAAAAATAATATATTAACATTAATTATAATTTTAGAATTTAGTCTTGAAATTCCTGAAATTTATCATTTGTCTAGTTTTGATGTTATTGTGCAACATTTAGATTTTTATTTAATGATATTTATAGTAAATACATACCTATACATACATTTTTTATCTCACATTTTTTTTAATATCTTATATTTATTATATTTTATATATTTTATTTGATCACTGGATTATAGAGTATAATTTTTTATTTAAATTAAACATTCCAGTATGTAATACTTATTAATTTAGTAATATTCATTTTTTTTTTTGAATATTAGATCATTCAACCATTATTATTTTAATAGTTTATAAGAAAGAAATTTTCAAAGTTAATTAGAGATGTAGAAATTTTGGTATCTTAAAATTTGTATTTCAATATTTTCAACCTTTCTTGAGATTATTAAAATTTGATGCTATTCCAGTTGGAATTTTAACCTTAAATAGGACAATTTAGTGTTTTAATTTTTAATTTTTTTAATTTTATTTTATTATATATTTTTACTTTTTTATTTTCTAAATTATTTATTTATTTTAATGAAAGGATTTGCTTGCAGCATTTCAATGGGAAACAGTAAAAGAAAGTTAAAGCAGTAATCATTAACTGTGAATGGGGAATATTTCACTAGTGATTGGGAAATTTCTCAAATTGAAAGAGTTGTAAATTATCAGATACTACACTCTAGAAGCTTCAGTTAATGATGTCTTAACGTATATTAAAATATTGTATATTAAAAGAAATAAATATTATTTAAAATGACGATAATAATAACAATAGATCTTTCACTTGTTAATTTTTTTTATTGTTAACGGGGTCGTTTACTTACCAAAAGAAAATTGATTAAATGAAACTACAAAAGAAGCAATTACTCTTTTGAAGAAATTAAACAATCTAAATCTGATGATATACATGAAGAGGGAAAGTGATATGTTGATTAGGTAAAGGAATTACTGTATATGTAGCTAATATTAATTATAATAATTAATTAATTAACAATTGATTGTAAAAATTCGAATAGGGAATCTGAAATCGCTTCAAAATTTATATGCATGTAAATAATAAATTAGTTTAAAAGTTATTTCTTTATATATTATGTAAACTAATTATCTCTCTCTCTTTCAATCAATTACAAATTGATCAATGAAGTTTGAAATTGAAATCTAATAATAATAGTAAATTATAAAGTTACATTTCGGAAATTTTTTTTTTTTATTATTGTGTATCAAGAAACATTGACGTGACGCGTATTATAAAATTTTTGATTTTTATAATGGACATTCATGACTTGTATTTCTCACTTTTTTCCCATAAACATGAAATATATTAACATTTCATACAAAGAAATTTATTTATGCATGTATAATAAATTAATAAAATAAAACAATAGAAAAATTTAATGATTATTATAAGACAAAACGAGTGCAACTCGACAAGGAATGTAAATCTGAAGAGTATTCTTTCTTCCATACAATCCCTGTGGTTGTGAAAAATAACTTTGACTCTCATCAATTCTATTATGACCTCCGAATTTGGGATTGTCAGTATTGAGTACAATTGAATATTTTCCTGCCCATTCTGTTCCTATCTTATAATCAGGATATGAATTGGTTGGATGGAAGTTGAAGATCCAGAGTAAATTTGCACGTTCGAAAACAATCAATTTATGTTCTTCATGTTTTAAAGAAACATATGCCTTGATATTTGAAAAGTTATTCCGTATGAGTATCTTGTATACGATTTATACATTTGAAAAAAATAAAAATAAAAACAAAAAAAAAAAAAATTAAAATCCACCTGTGGAGAGCTTAACCATTTATATTTTTCTTCAGAATGTTGCATTGCCTTATCAAAATAATTTAAATATTTATATCTTAACAATTGATCATCCACAACATTCCATTGACGTCTAGCGTAATGGTATGAATTGTTATTTCCTTCTCGAGGAAAATCTAACCATTCAGGATGTCCAAATTCGTTTCCTTCAAAGTTTAAATAGCCTTCTCCCCCAAGACCATGAGTTATTAAACTTTTTTTTTAAAAAAAAAGAAAATTCTAATTAATTAGATTCAAGAAATAATCTGAATAGACAAGAAGTAGAATTTAGTAGCGAATATTTTACCGGATCATCTTGTGGAGAGCCAACCCTCGATCGATAATAGGTGTAAGTGGTTTTGTATCTGACATTTCGGTATACATTTCTTTGTCCATGAGCCAAAAGGCGATGGTTTTATCACCAACAAGTGCTTGGTCATGTGATTCGGCATAGGCAATAGTTTTTTCCTAAATTGGTAATTAAAAATATAAATTATAAATCAAAACTAGTCATAATTTATCATAAATTATAAAAGGAAAAAAAAATCAAAAAAATAGCGAATAATAATTACTTTGTGTCTACGGTTAGTCAAGGTCCAGCAAATATTTCCCATATTCCAATCATCATCACGTTTTTCTTTTAATAATTTGATCCACATATCTGGAATAGCCATGCCGAGACGATAATCAAAACCAATACCACCTTCAGATACAGGAATACAAAGTCCAGGCATTCCGGAAACATCTTTACATTTTATTAAAAAAAAAAATTATTATTCAAAAACCATTCTTATATAATAATTAATTTCATGAATATGTAGGTTTTAAATTTACCTTCAGCGATGGTGATGATATCTGGATAAATTTGGTGAAGCATATCATTTGCCTGAATTAAATTGAATTAAAATGAATTAAATAAATGTGTAAATTATTTAATATCTTTTTGTCTTTCTGTACTATTAATCTATCAACATGACTTTGTTATTAGACACTAACCAACATTAAATACATTAATCCTTCCTCATCTACAGAATCACCAAAGTATTCAGGATAACCACCAGCAAAACCTGTTCCAATACCGTGGTGTTTATACATGATACTAGTAACACCATCAAATCTAAATCCGTCAAACTTGTATTCTTCGATATAGAATCGAAGATTTGAAAGTAAAAAACGAAGTACTTCCCAATTACCATAATTAAATAGGCGACTTAAGAATGAAATAATCAATAAAGAAGTATTGTACAATTGATTTTTTAATTTAATTCTTAATAATATAATAATACATTCTTAATAAAAGATTTATGCATACCTATCCCAAAGTTCATGTCTTCCTTTTTCCCCTTCATGGAAAAAACAATAATCCGTTCCATCAAATAAGTTCAATCCATCAAGAACATTTTTACATGCATGAGAATGAACTATGTCTAACAATATAGAGATACCCATTCCGTGAGCGGTATCAATAAGTCTTTTTAATTGTTCGGGAGTGCCTATAACATATTATTAATTAATTATTTTAAATATTATGTTTTTCATATGATTCTTAATTACTCATCTATTCATTTATTATTTAATTGATATGATCTTACCATAACGACTAGAAACAGCAAAAAAGCTTGTTACCTGATAACCGAATGAAGCATAATAAGCATGTTCCATAACGGCCATCAATTGAATAGCATTATAACCTAGATCTTTAATACGGGATAAAACATTATCCGTGAATTCATCATAGGTGGCGATATGTTTCTCACTAGACGATATGCCAACTAAATGTGAAACAAATAAAAACAAAATAAATTAATTTTTTAAAGTATTAAATATATCAAAAAAAAAAAAAAGACAAATATGATCATTTTGTGATATATACCATGAGCCTCATAAATTCTTAAACCGTCAGGCTTTGGAGGAGCTTTATTTTTCCATACATATTTCTCAGGAGGATTCCAAAAAACAGCATCATATGCTTGACTTACGGATAAATCTTGAGTTGCGCGTTTGATCCAAACTGGAAGACGATCAATACATTCTCCTGATGAAGTAATCATAGATATCTAAAGTAGAAATAATATTAATGAATTGAAAGATCAAAAACTTTTTTAAAAGATATAAAATTTATTATTAAATTATTACGTACTTTTACTTTAGAATTGTGTGGAATAACGGGATTTCCATCATTAGCGGGAATTCTAACTTCCCATACTCCAAATGAATCCTTTTTCATTGGATGTGCTTTTCTATCCCAATTATCTTAAAAATATTAATCAATTTAAGGTTTAAATAATGTCATATAAAAAATCTGAATCAATCCTTTGAACTTTATGAACTTGGTGTAAACTTTTTTTTAGCAAAAAGGATACTAAAATCACCAATCAAACTTGCAGATTGGGCGCCGGGAGCCCACTCTCGATAAATTATGTCTCCATTTTTATCAACATTTATTCCAAATTTTTCATAACCTCTTGTGAACGGATCGTAACCTCCTTCATTTTTGTTTATATTGTCAACCCAACTTTTAAAATTAGAATTCCTATATTAAATAAATTAAATATATTAAATATATTAAACATATTAAAATATATGAATTATATTAATTATATTAAATATATTATTTATATTAATATATTAAACATTTATAAAAATTATAAAGTAAAATTTAATTGTCAACCTTTCTTGAAGTCGAGGTTCAAAAGGTTTTAACCAAGGGTCAAGGGAGGTAATGCTCAAACCATTGGTAGCTTTCATTTTTTTAAGAAAAATAAAAATTAAAAAAAAATATGAAGATAAAATTTTATTCCTTAATGTATTTATTGGTATAAAATGGAAGTTTTATTGGCTGGGCGCAAAGAAGAAGAAAAATAATCATAACTATTACATATATAAAAAAAAAATTTGGTATAGTATAATTATATATAATAGCTTTAATTAGTTAAAAAAAGTCATGATGCCTTTCACGTTGAAATATCGTTCAAAGATATTTGATATAGTATAAATTTTAGTCAGATTTCACATGGAGTGAAACTTAATTAGGCAGGATGGATCATAAAGTAAAATCTAAGAATTTGTTTATCGTGTGTTAAATGTCTACCAGTTAATTTCTTTATTAGGGTAATTTTGTAAGGTAAATCAAATCAAAAATACTATTAAAATCTACACTTTAAACATTTGCCTTTTTCAAAAATAAATACTCATTTCTATAACTTTATTATTAATATGCCCAAAGAAATACAGTAATACAAATATTTACATAAAAAAAAATTCTTCCAAATTTCAAATTTTATGGTATTTTCGCGTTACTTTGTCACCTGATTGTCACCTAAAATGTACTAATACGATCCGGTTCAGTCCGACTTGAATCCAAAGTCAAACCGAACTGAATAGACAGGTCGACCCGGTTCGACTTGATTTGTACTTAACGTAAACACACAGAAATACCGCCCATTGACCTATACGCTTAATGAAAACAGGCAGGGATTTAAAACTGAAACCATTTACGCGATCTATTAATAGATTAAAAAAAGAAAATGTTAGTATTCGCACCTTTTTAACTTTGTTCCGATATCCTCGTTTCCCTATAAAAGTAAAGATGTCAGTGATCTACGTTGATGTCACCCTATATATTTGGGGTTTGATAGAAATTTTCATGGGTAGATTTTCTTCACATGTGAAATAAGTAAATGTAAATTTCCTAAAGAAATGCTTCCACCAAATTTACAAATAACAATATTTCCCGAAAAAAATTTACGAAAATTTCACGATTCAATAATTCAACAAATCGAAACAATTGAACGTAAATCATTTCCGAAGAATGAGATGATGGCAATTAAAGAAGAAATTTCAAAAAAGATCAATAAAATGTTAATCGCTTATTTTAAAATTGATAATGATAATGATAAAAAATGTAAGAATAATAATAATAATAATAATAATTCTAAATTCGAAATTAAAATTCTGGGATATTTAATATATTCTTATACATCATCATCATCATCATCATCATCATCATCATCATCTATAACAACAACTTTACCATTAACAAAAATATTAAAATTATGTGTACACCCGTTATATCAAAGAAAAGGATTAGGAACGAGGTTATTAAATCATTTATTTGAGAAAACTGGAGTACCCCAAAGAAGTAAAGCCAATTTACATGTAGACATAAAGAGAGAAGGTGCAATATATTTATATCAAAAAGTTGGATTTAAAATAATAGAACAAATAAATAATTATTATTCGGTTGAAAGGGATGCTTGGTTAATGGAATATTCTAAAGAATAATTATATATTAATATTTAATTATTTAATAAATAATAATAATAATAATAATTATTATTATTATTATTAGAATTCAATTATAATGTCATTTACTCTCTTTCTCTACTTCTATAAATAAAATACACGATATTATAATAATTATATAAAACATAATAATATACAATAACATTATATTAAATGAATAATAATTATAAAATCCATAATTTATAATTTTGCTTTAACTTTAGTAGTATTAAATACGCTATCCAATTTTGTTGCCAACATCATATTACCCTTAACTTTGAGTTTACCAGACATAAAAGCTTTTTGTCCTAATAAATAAATGAATGAAAAAAAAAAAAATGAAATAAAAGATTAATGAATGAATGAATGAATGAATGAAATTAATAAAAGATTAACGAACAAAAGACTTAATTATGAATTATTTACCATTAAGTTTTCCAGAAGCTAATTGAACAAAAGTATCATCTTCCAAAGTAATAGTAATATCAGGTTTTTCGGAACCTTTTCCTGTTTTAACAGTACCTTCTTTTTTTAAGTCTAAAGTCCATAATTGTTCCTTCCCTTCAGTATTTTTTACGTTAATTTCAAAGATGGCTTTTACCTAAATAAGAAAAGAATATTTAATATTTATATTTTTGACAATATGAATTCAGATGATACAAATATCAATATTTCTTTCTTATATAAAAATAATACCTTTTTGATACTCTCTTGTTTTGTTGAATTATCAGCAAAACTAGTTTGAAGTTGTTCAAAAACATCGGATGATTTAAAACCTTCAACTTTGACAGACATTTTTCTTTTTTTTTCAAATAATAATCATCTCGGAGTTAAAATATATTATCTGTAAAGCCGTGTTATGTTACACTGATGGTTTATTTACTGATTATCTCCATTTTTTAAGATTTTAACATATTTTGTAATGACGATCGTAAGAGGTTAAATGTGTTCCTACAGTTTTCGGTTCATCCCGATGAAAAGATTGAATATAGAATATCCTCTTTTTACCAGTTACAATAAGATCGGCACGATAGTAAAATGTAGAATATTAAGCATTATAAAAAGCTCAACTCTTAGTTTCTAGAGTACTCGTTGAGACAATCCGTTATGGTCCTGGCCATATCTCGCTTTTGGTGGCAACTCTTACCATTCATGTAAATCAAAAAAAAACAGAATTTATTGTATAGAAAATAAGATTATATGACATTATAGAACTTGTAACAGAAACGCATTATTCTGGTACATTTATAATGGGACGGAATTATGAAAATATAGTAAAAGATTTTTACTTAACAAGCCTTTATCGTTACTTGACAGTTTTATGTTTATCTCTTTCAGGAGAGGCAACTCTCTAGGCCATCCTCTTACTTTTGCATTCATTACTTTTTTTTTAAAAAAAAAATCCAACGGAGTCTTGCTCCAATAAACTTTTATTGATAGATTAGGTGTAAATTTTAAAGATACAAATAATTTATTTTTCATTTATTGAAACTGATTAAAAATAACATTTTACCATCCGACATATCGTTTCCTAAGTGTAACCTCAGGAACTGATGGCCAAAACCCCATCAGATGTAATTATTATATATATAACTATAATTATTATTATATTTGCATCCTAAGTTAATCCACATTCTAAATTTATGTCATTACAAGTCATTAGAAAATTTTTTTAAAACAGCGTATTTCACATTTTGAAACTTTCAGAAATTACGTTTTTGAAATATTTTAAAACATTGTTAACGTTTTGAAAATATTTTAAAACCTGTTTATGGTTGTAATATTTATTGAAATATTTCAATAAACGAAAATACCACAAGTATACAAATTTTATTCCATAAAGAATAAATGAAAAATTATCATTTAAAAATTATAATATTTACAATTCAGATAAGTATATATTAATTTACTTAGACAATTAAATTTCCATTCCTCATGAATCATGAATTAAGGGATCTTGTTTGATTATCTTCAGGTAAAAAAATTACTTGTATCTCGTGATTTTTTCATCAATATTCCTATAATATCGGAAAGTAAATCGGTGGACACAAAACTATGCAAAAAAAAAAAAGGAAATACAAGAATGACGAAGCAAACCTCTATAGTAATAAGCTCTTTTAAGAATTCGTCTTTATCGAATTTGTCATCACCTTTAGGTGTCTCAGAAGTATCTTTAGGTCATTGAATCAGCTTCAATAGAAGATTTATTGGGTTCCTCTTCTGTCCCAAAGCTATTGTTTACTCATGTATTTCCTTCATATATGAGGTTCAGATGTATTACCAGATTGTATTGTCTCCCGTGTGGTACGAAGAAGTGCTCAACTAAAATTCGTATATAATTCTAAAACTTGATCGACAATATTTTTAGAATTGATAACAGACACTTTTTAAACAGTAGAAATGTTTTCCCAAAACTTCTTGACTTCAAATGATTTCACCTCCTTCTATATATATAAAAAAAGAAGCGTGTTGCTAGGATACTATCAGACTCATCCAAGGCAAAAAGTACCCTGAAAGACTTATCTCTAGGAATTCAGACTCATCTCTCAGGAATTTAGACTCATCCTAGCACTTTCAGCAGTAGCAGTTAATGGTGGAACTATAACAAAATGCATTCTTCAGACTCATCCTAGCCTTTGCTTTAATCCCGAAATGAAACAAAAAAACAAAATCAAACCTCGAGCTAACTGTTGGATGAGTTCACTATTACAAATTTCTAATTGAGATGAGTTTTTCAAGTGGATCTTATATAAGAGGTACATATTCGTCTTGTTTATCTTTGCAAATACTAGACTCCACTGTAGTAACTCTATATATTACATTTTTAGGCTCAGAAGTCACACAAATAAATTATGCATGCGGAATTTCCATAAACTTCCATAGTCCGAATTATTTTTGATTGCTAGTCCTACACTACTGCTAATACCAATGAAATTGTCTCTCTCAACCCAATCCTCCAACGAAATTCTTTTGTGGAGATTTCTGATTCAAAACTCACAAGGTTTAATCTGAGGTTATGGGATCCCAGAATACATTTTTATGAGAGAGCTCTTCTTTTGTTAAATATGACAGGAAAATAATAAATTTTGTTATAAAATCTACCAATAAAATATTACATTTAACCATTGAAAGAGTATACATAGCAAAGTTAACGAAATGAGTTAATTTTTTTTTTTTAATCAATATATTTCTTATATATATATATATATTTGTATAAATTTAAAGTTTTTTGACACGATAAATTTAACCCCTTTTACTAATATAAATCGTGCCGATCGTAGTGGGATCAGCGATTTTAAGTTTATTATAAATGGTTATTAATGAATAAAAGAAACGTCTTGCTTATTTTAGTTATCTCAGGGAAAGATCAATGTGGAAAACTGCGTGAAGCTGTAGTTGATTAATATCAAATGGATCGTGTAACTTCCGTAGCTTCATCACGTGTCTGTAATTCCAATAATGATATCTTTCTATGAACCAAACATTGTAGTTCTTTAAATTTCAATCCTTCCTTTCCTTCTTTAAATAAAAAAAAAAAAAAAAACTTTCTAATCTGTGATACCTTCCGTTTGAAGTATAATAACTTCGTATATAAATACATAAAATATAAAGTTATTTATTTATTTTTTATTATTGTTTATAATCTGACACACTATGGCCATGTCTAGTGCAGCAAGCATCTTAATGAAGCAATTTAGAGGTAAGCTTTTTTTATCTATACAGATATGATTCTTTTTTCTCTCTCTTGGAGATCTTTATCTGGAATAAAACGTTATAGTCTTTTGATATTAGCTTTACTTGAGATTAGTCAATATCCGTTCTTTTTATTTAATATTTTATTCTTCAAATTTAGAGCTTACAACCCATCCCGTACCTGGGTTCACGGTTGCATTGCACGATGATAATAACGTGTTTGAGTGGTAATTATAATCATTGTTCTCATTGTTCCCACGGTCTTTTGAGTTTGTCTCGTTATTTTTAGGTTTTTTTTTTAAATATTTCTTTAATATTATTTGTTAAATTTTTTATTATATAAATTAGGGATGTAGGTATTATCGGAGCTCCAAGTACGATTTATGAAGGAGGATATTTTAAGGTACGATATCACGTGATATTTTAAACTGATTCAATTGTAATTATTTTAATACGTTTATAAATCATAATGTTTTCTTTCATTTTTTGTAGGCAACACTTAAATTTCCAAATGATTATCCTTTCAATCCACCAACGTTTAAATTTAACAATGAATTCTTTCACCCAAATGGTATTTTTTTTTAAAAAAAAAAATATTAATTTACATTTGATCACATTTCCACTTTTATCCATTAGCAGACTTTTTACACTAGAAAATTCATTTTTTTTTTAGTTTATATAGATGGACGACTTTGTATATCTATTCTTCATCCTCCTGGTGAAGATCCCACAAGCGGCGAGTCAGCAGCGGTTGGTTGAAATTATTTTCATTCGTATATTATTATATTATTCCTATCATTATAAAGGTTTTACTTATATTGACTTGAATTACTTGAATTGTATTGGATGTCTTGAATTGTCATTGAATTGGTTTGAATTGTCATTAAATTGGCTTCAATTGTCTTGAATTTGTCTTGGAATTTTAGGAACGTTGGAATCCTACTCAAAGTGTTGAGAGTTAGTATTTAATTTTTTTTTTTTTTATTTACTTTATAATAAGCAAAATAAATTAAAGTGATTCACACGTTTTTGTTCTTATAGGTATCTTGATAAGCATTGTTAGTCTTATGGGTGACCCAAATTGTTCTAGTCCCGCTAATGTGGTATGTCATTCGTTTATTATAGATTATCTGTTTTATTTGTACTTTCTCCATTTGTTTTTCTACTAACGTTATGGTAATTTTTATAGGACGCTGGTGTATGTATTATTTATATTATTTTATGTTTGTTTGATCGAATTGATCAAGGGAAATAATTTATAATAATTTTCTATCTATACAGATCATGTATCGTAAAGATAAAGAAGGGTATAATGCTATTGTTAGATGTAAGTATTAGTATTAAACATTTATAATTTATATATCTCACTATCTCACTTTATGTGAATTTGGATATGTTCAAAATGAAAATGGGTTAACACACTAATAATAATAATAATAGCACAAGTCGAAGCTTCGAAGAAAGATGTCCCTGAAGGATTGAAAATACCTATCAACGGTAAGTTTTTTTTTTTTTTATTAAAAAAAAAAAACTAATACGTAAATTTAAAATTCATGTAAAAAAAAACAAATCCGACTAATTATATTATCCCTATTATGTATTTGTACAAATAACAAAAAAGCCGACGATTTTATCGTTCAAAAACGTCCAACTGACGATATTCCAGACGAAAGTTATTGGTATGTTACGGGCGATGATGATGAAGATCTTGAAGAAGATTTAGATATTGATGATTTTGAAGATTTTGAAACAACTGAAGATGAAGATGAAGAAGAAGATGAAGAGACGAGTTCTTAATTTTCATTTTACAACTTTCGACTTCATAATCCTTTATCACTCAAATTAGAATAATTATTAATTGCTTAGAAAATTAAATTGATGTGAATCGTATGTGTGTCCATTAAAGAACATTTTTACACTTTTGTGTTTTTTACCTTTTTTATTTTATTTTTTTATATGCATTTTCTTTTTCTCTTCCCCTTTTCCATTTTGTACCATAAATCCTGTAAATTGCCGTTTCCCTTCTTTTTTTATATAACCACGTGGAAAAATCATTCTCAGTGAACATTTAGAAATAAAATTTAGGGATTTTTTTTTTTATTCTTATTCTCAGTAATTTAAAAATTTCAAATAATTTTTTATTTGAATATCAAAAAAATTTTTTCAATCAAAAAACCAGTGTTTGATTATTAAATTTTTACACTATATTTGGTAGGGTAATAATTTATTTTTTTTATCAACTGAAAAAATATATTTATATCCTCGTGGATTTAAATGATTTAAAAAAATGTTAAGGTAGATGATAATGATGACTTTTTATTGTTTTCATATGAAACGAAGAATTATATTATTTTCACAAGAGATTATTAAGCTGCTGCGGCTTGTTGAGCACGACGTCTATATAATTATGGATTTTAATGATTAATAATTAATAAATGTAAATAAATCAATAAAATATATAATTAATTATATAAGATAATAGTATATTTATATTTTTCGAACCTGTCACGCTCTTCAGCAATGGTGAGTTTAACACCCTTGCCCTTTGGTAATGAGATCCAAAGTTTATTGCCTTCACCGATCATAAAGACGTTAGAAAGACGAGTAGCGAATTGTCTATCAATAGAATCTTTAACATGAACAATATCTAAAATGGTATGAAGTAAATAAAACATTTAGCATTTAATAAATAGTCTCTAATAATAATAATCTCTAATGATAATCTCTAATAATAATCTCTAATAATAATAATATTTACCGAAACCCCCGTGATGTCGTTCTCGGTGAGTGATTATACCAACACGTCCCTAAAACCATAAAATATATATATGTATATATATACATATATAATTTTAAATAAAATATCACAAATAAACATTATTAATTATTAATCATAGCGTATAATTTTATTTTACCATATTGCGTCCACCAGTAATCATAACAATATTTCCAACTAGAATTAAAATAATAAATAAATATTAATTTTTATTATTATTAAAAATAACAAATAAAATGAATAATAAATAAATAATTAATTAAATAATTAATTAATTTTACCTTCGAATTTGACGTGACCGGTAATTTTGTTAGTTTCTAAATCAAACTTAATCATGTCATTTACTTTAATGAGAGGATCGGGATAACGAATCGTACGTCCGTCATGAGTGACAATAAATGGAATCCCTTTAGCACCAACTTGAGTTTTTTTAACTTTCAATAACTTATACTTGGCTTCTTCTGTGGAAATTCTATGGATGGTGAATCTTCCTTTAGTGTCATAAATTAATCGGAAATTTTCTTGCGTCCTCTCAATAGAAATAACATCTTTGTTAAATAAATGAATAAATGAATGAATGAATGCGTTTAAATAAATGAGTTAAAATAAATAACCGTTTTAATAATTATTTATTTATTTAAATCAATAAATAAATATAATGAAAATTTATAAAATACCCATAAATCCAGCAGGATAAGTGTTATCTGTTCGAACTTTTCCATCCACTTTCACAAGACGTTGCATCAAAATGCTAGTGACTTCTCTACCAGTAAGAGCATATTTAAGACGATTTCTCAAAAAAATCATGAGTGGCAAGCACTCACGAAGTTTATGAGGACCAGGTGAAGGTCTTGGGGCCTAAAGAAAAAAAAAAAATATTCAATATTTAATCAAAATCAATTTTTTATTTATTTTTGAAATGTATATTTCTAGACAAGTAAAAAAAAAAATAATATAAATATAAAATAAAATCAGGAAAAACTTACATATGTCCCTGAAAGTTTATCTAACATCCAATGTCTCGGGGCATTGAGCCGCTTCAAATGTTTTTTGGGTCCACGAGCCTATTACCAATAAAAAGAAAAAATAATTCAAAATTCATAATTCAAGAAATCAAAAAAAAAAAAATCAGAGCTAATCCTAATGACAGAATAATTGATAATTCTTTAATAATATTACTTAATATTATAACTATTTAAATTATTAATTTGAAATTCAAATCAAAAATATAAAATTGAAATTTAGTAATCGATAAATAATTTAAATGTGGTAAAGATGGATGGGTAACTCGAATATATTCTTTCAAAATCAAATCCGAAACGATAACAAGATTAATGTAATTTTGTGAGAGTCTCAAGAGACGTTTTTAATCATACCGAAAATGTGTATCATTTGAAATTTCTTTTTTATTTAAATATTTTGATAATTAACGTACCATATTCAACAAGCTTTTTCTTTTACAAAAGCCAACGGCGAAGAGGAGGAAATTAAAAAGAAAATTTTCAAAAATTTATGATTGAAGATCGTGTAACACAGATCTGATTATGAAGATTAAATTCAAAAAATCGATTAAAAAAAAAAATGATTGCGCGACGACTCCTGAAGGTTTAACTAAGAAAGACAAACATAAATCTTAAGAGAACAATAAAGTAGATGGAGATAAGAAGGACGAATTTTGTTATCCAAGTGGTCTTCCCAGGTAATGTTTTAAGTTCACACTGCATTGATGGTTTTATTTGAAGTTACAAACGTGTCTGGAGTTCGAAAGTGTGTTTACAACTAGACACAGCTCACTGTTAAGGAAAAAAGCCTTTTGGAACCAAATATACTGCTGAGATGTCTATACTCTAAGTATACATTGATATCATTCTTTCACACATTTGTAATGTTGACTTG